CGGTAGGTGTATAGTTGTAATAGACGATATATATAGTAGATCTAGAAGAGACTTAGTTGCAAATCGATTAGTCAAAGAGTTACAAACACATTTATAAATTGCAAATAATAACAGTTACTGCAACCTATAGGCAACACAAACCATTGCCGGTGACACATACACGCACGCAAGTTGTTGTAGAAACACATAATTGACACAGTTTAACAGTAGAAATAAGTAGAGAAATAAAGAATAGTAAAACAAACCATTTTTAAAACATTTTCTGAAAGAAGAATACAATTATTGCATTTAAGTGTTTATTTAATAATATATTATCATTTTGTGTTTATATATGCTTATATGTATATATACTTTTCATTTATATGTATGTATTGTATATACATATATACATGCATCGCTTAATGTAGAAGAACATGGCATTTGTTTTCGGGGTTTAACAATGAATAGCTGTTATACTAAGAGGTAATTAAATAATATATTTTTTTCATTTTGTGCTTTTTTTATTTTTTTGCAATACACATATACTATATTGTATGCGTGTTATTTTGGTTATCAGCATGTTCACAACACAAATCCATCAACTTATATAACTAATATACAATGTATGTAGAAAATTCGTAATCTTTTGGGTAACATTATATATATATATAAATATGTGTAATATGGTATATTTAAATTTTGTCACATATGTATTGTGTGTTTGTATGTAGGCGTTATATAAAAAATATGTATAGCTATTATATACATGCTTTATGTATGCATATGTACATGTAATTATCAGAAAGTGTAACATTGTAATATTTCTACAGTCGTTTATGTGTACGTTCATATGTCAAATATATCTACATATACATAAGCTCCAGACTAGAATGTTAAATAACATCAATTTACGACACGGTACTTGATAGGTTAAAATTTTTCTTTTGAAAAATTTTTGAACGTGTTATTTGCTCCTATTGTTGTTGTCATTATTTTATTATTGTGGTTATTATTATTAAATTGTCGTATATTTTCTACACGTTACGCAGATATACATATTTTTTATATTTTTTAATATATTATTTTTGTGCCTTGCTTATTTTTTTTATTTGTATTATAATGTATTATTACTGTTTTTATATTTGATATATTTTTTGATCTGTCGTGTTAAATTTTTTGCTATTAAAGTTTATTAAATAGTTATTCTTTTGTTTGTGTTATTATTGTTCTTATAATAATATTTAATTTTATTTCGTATAATATTGTATATTTTTGTCTCTCGTTGTAGATTTACCTTAATTATTAATTTTTGTTAATATAATTTAATTTTCCTGCTGTTATTAGCGCTATTATTATTATTTGTTATAATATGTGCATTTTTAGTATTTTTTTATGTGAGTATTTTCGTTTTAATATAAATAATTATTAGCATTATTTTATTAATTTGCTTATTATTATGATTTTTTTTAAATTTTATTGTTAATAATATTATTTGTTACACATTGTTTATTAATTTTTTATTTTAATTATATTGTTATCATTGTTATACGTTTCGTACAAGTAATTTTTCTATTTCGTTGATGTTTCTTCATTTTTGTTTTTATTTTCATTATTGAATTTTATTATTTTTATTCCATTTATTAATGTTATCATGATTTATTTTTTTTAATTTTACTGTTAATTGTATTATTATTATTTTTAATTTTATTGTTGATAATATCATTTATTTTTCTATAGTGTATGTTTTTATATGGTTTTAATATGCATTGTCTTCATTATTTGTATTATTAATTATTATGACTTTTTAATTCTCTTGTTAAAATTATTTAAATGTTTTTTTTTTTAATTATCTATTTTTTATTTTTTAAATTTATTTTTTTATTTTGTAATTTTTTTTATTTTTAATTTATAATACTTTTAATTTGTAATATAATACATATTTTTAATTATCATAAATTTTTTTTTACTGATATAATCATTATAAACCTTTTTTCATATTATATAGATATTTATTTCGGTGTTTTTGTTTTGATATGTTTTATTTCTTTTTTTGTTTATGCTTTGGCATAGGTATGAGTTTGCTATCAAACTTACTATAGGATCATGGTCAAATGTTTAAAATCAAGCAAATAAAAATATTACAACTATTTATAGTGCAAATTTAGCAACTTTTAAACTAAGTTTGTGCGCCATGAAGATAGCTGGCATTAATTTTTTTGTTAGTAAAGTATTAAATTCCCTGTTTTCATCAATAAAATTCTTAAATCTTTATACAGCTTTCTACTATATGCTGCTGGACGCATTAAACAATTTTTTAAAAGTTAAGTAAAAAACGCTAATTTAAAAATTATTAATTTAAAATATATAAGACAAGTAGACGCGACCGCGTTCCTTTCACAACATTTGAACCATATTTTGAAGATTTCGAAATTCTAAAAATTTCTTTCCATGCGCACTAAATTTCTAGCGGTATTCAACTCTAAACTAAATAGTCGCCGTACTTGCCTGATTGACGCTAACTACGCTGCATAGGCGTTTTTGAATGAACATGTCCATAAAAGTCATGGCTTAGACGAAAAATACATAAGTAAATAAATAATTTATAATCTAGTTGGGATTAACTGTGACTGCCTGTCGTTCCCTGGAGATCTGGTTAACTTTTATATAGTTAATACTAGACGAATATGCGTTAATAATAAAATATCTTTTGGTTTGTTTTCTTACAAAATGTAAATTACAAAAAAATTAAAATACCGTAAACGTCTTTCGTGTCGGTTCGTTTGGTAATAATAATGCATTACTTTTTAAAATAAATAATAAATAGTTACTAAAATTATTTTAGGTATACATATGTATATGAGTAAAATAAAAGTGTGTGTAAAATAATGAACAAAAAGTTGTCAAATGTTAATACTTTTTGGTAAATGTTTCGTACTTATACATATGTATATGTGGGGTGCTGTGCTCATTTGGTGCACCGCAAATGTCATGCTTTAAAATGTTGTGCGTATCGGTGACCTTTGCCGAACAGCTTGCCTTTTTTATGTAAATGTATGTATATATGTATAGGAATTATTAAATAAATAAATGAATAAATAAATAAATAAGTAAGTAGGTAAAATGAGTATTATTTTATGCTAAATATCCTTGGCATGTTAAATACATAATAAAAATCCTTGCATTAAGCACTTGCTTAGTTGTTGTTGTATGCAAATGGTATCGTATTGATGAGACGCTCCTTTAACAATGTATTGGATATCAGCTGTATGCCCAATTTCATTTTCCACTCCTCACCAATAGCATCCAAAGCCTTGCTGGCCGCAATTTGTCCCACAGCACCATCATTATCAGCATTAGCGGTCAACGAGCGAGCGATTTCCTCATTAATGCCTTCGGCCGCCTGGCCATTACTCTCGCCCATCACCGTTGCAGCTGATATGGCGGTTATAGCGCCAGTCAAACCATAAGTCGGCTTCTTGTCCAACACCACCGCGTCCATATTTATGGCGCCATCCACATCCGTGCCATTGGCGGCATGTGCTTGTGGTGCGGTGGGGGCCTGTGGACTGTGCGGCATGTTCTCCGAGTCATATTGCTCCCTTTTCAATGATAAATTCTCCGGTACGGCACCATTACAAGCGTCATTAGTGTGGTTCACATTATTCTCACCACTACTGCGGTAACCGCTCGCGCTGCCACCGCCGCTATTGCTGGTTGCCTGTTGCGCTATGGCCGGCGGTATGCCGTGTTTCGAGGTTAAGTGGCGTACCATGTGATATTTACGGCGGAAACGTGAGGGGCACAGGTCGCAACTGAAACGTGGCGGTATACCGATGCATTCGTCGCGCATGTGACGCTGTAAGTGACGCTTGCGCAAATAGCTTTTGCCACAGACGGCGCAGGGGAAGCGCTCATGTGGATTCTCAACGAACATTTCATTGCCGATCAGCATTGTGGATTTGAATTCGTACTTTAAATCTGTTTAATGTTTTGTTTTGCGGAGTGTTTGTTGTTGTTTTTGGATTTTTTGTGTTATTCATTTTTTATTTGTGATTTTATAACACGTAACGGTTGTTTCAAATGCAGCGTCGATGAGTGTGTGTGCGTGCGTGTAATGAGATTTTATGTGATGTATGAAATGAAAACAAAAAGGAAACAAAAAAATTATATAATGTAATTGAACACATTGCAATAACTACATAAACACTTTTAGTTGTAAAAACATTTATTTTTATTATTAAATTCTTTTTTTTTTTTGCGCAGTTTGCATTAAATTTTAAACAATTTTTTTCTGCTTCTTTTACAAGTAATAAATACAATTAAATACAAGTTAAGCATAAAGTTGTTGTTGTTTTTTACTCACAAATAATTGTTGTCTACGACAGAAAGGTAAATTACTGGTTCCAAAGTCCTTGCGACGGCAGGAGTACTACTCTTACATACTGGTACTACGTACATTACGTTGTACTGCTGTTTATATAATGATTATAGGATCAATTAGCTAAAGTTAACAATAATAATTATGTAATTATATGTACACCTACATACAAGTGTGCACAAATTTCGGAATTCAAAGTGTTGCTAAACTATAAAACTACCAAAATATTGTTGTTTTTTCAGCAATACTATCAAACTACATTACAAAAACAACTGCAACGCTAAAAGCTAACTAAACTAGTATCAGTTATGAGCAATTAATTATAACAAACCGTAGGTTAACGCTGTACATTACTTCACGAATTTTAAATTTTATTTTTTTTACACGCATTTATATATGTTCGTATATGTGTTTTCGGCTAATGCATACACATTTTTGGGGGGGCAGCAACGCTTTTGACGCCGTAAATCATTGTTGCTGCCACATATGCTGCAGTTGGCTGGCATAAACTTGAAAATAATGCGCTAACATAGCTGTACATACATAAAATATATATGTTAGTTAACTGTAAATATGTCATATACATGTATGTCTGTATGCACTTTGCGTTGCATGACTTTTAAATTAAATTTAAATGCTTACATACAGATATTCAATCACACTGGGCTCTTTATTATAACATTTTCATAGGTATACTCGTATAGCATTATAAACTACAGTTTAGCGCTTACATATGTACAATTTATGCTATACATACAAGTATATAATAAAAACTAATAATAAATATTTAAATAAACGCGCCTAACCGTAAACTACAGCTAACTTCAAGTAGCATAATACCTGAACAAAACAATTCAAACGTTGCAAAACAAACGCGTTGATTTCCAAAAACGTGTTTAACAATAAGCACACAAATAGGCCTCAACTGCAGCTTACTACAAATGTAATGCAGTGAAGCGTGTGCGCTGCTTGCATTTGGCACGTCATTTTCGACACGCAGCACGTAGAGTTCACATTTTCTTATTGTGAATGCCATGTTTTTGCCGCAAGTGTAGCTTCAAGTCGTACTTCCACGAGCAGGTGAAGGCGCAGAACTCGCAGTGGAACTGCACGTTGGCTTTCTTGGTTGTGGCCGCCGTGTGTGGCGACATTATGCTCGCGGAGGAGCCGGCGCTGGCGCTGACGCTACTCACGGCTTCCAATGCGCTGTTGCCGCCTCTACACAGTAGCTTCTCCGCAGTGCTGGCGTGTAATTTCTTACTTGTATTATGTTCGTTTGTTACATTTACCGTTTCGCCGGCTGCTACGGCTTTTGTGGCAACATCTTGCATTGCTGCGGCTGTTTGTGGCAACAACATTGTACTGCCAATTAAATTGGCCAATTGTATGGAGGCGGCCGCTGTTATTTGGCAGCCACTACAATTGCTGTGATGGGCGGACGATGTTGGTGTGCAGCATGTGGTTGTTGGATGCGTCGGCAGGGTAGTTGTTGTTGTTGTTAGCGGTGGTGGTGATATTGTTGCTGCTGCTGCGGCGACATTTGTCATAGCATGCGGTTGTATGATGTGTAAATGTTGTTGTTGCTGTTGCGTTTGCGCCTGTTGCATAAACCGCTTGCCACAGCACTTGTACATGGAGCGTATCGATATTTCCGGCTCAAGCACATCACACAGCAGTTTGTTTACGCTCGGCACGGGGCTTTGCGTGGGTGGCGTCGTCGCGCTGGACAGTGCGCCGGCTGGCGTGTAGGCGGGTAGCGCGCTATGCACGTCCGCTGCTAGGCCAGTTAATAGGCGATTTTTGGCAACTAATAAATCATTTTGCTTGGCGCACTCATTGCGCTCATTGCTAATACTCCTGTGTCGCTGTTTGTTGTGATTGCTATTGATGTTGTTGTTGTTATTATTATTACTGTTATTGATATTATTATGCATGTGTACCGCATTGCTGCTTGCAGAGGCTGCTGCGACGACGGCTGCCGCTGCGGTGGCAATATTATACAATGTCCGTAAATCTGAAAAATTGATGATTTCGCATTGGCAACGAGATTTTAAGTTATTTTTATACTTTGCTGGGTGTACCATAATACGCCCCTTATTTTTGCATTACCCTAAAAATTTAATTCAATACTATTATGCATATATTGTACATACTTATCAATATATATGTATGTATGTATAAATTGATAATGATATATTTGAGTATGCCAAGACAAATACATAGTAACGGTATATATGTACTTATAGCACATAAGTACATGCATACATACATACGTATATGTATACATAGCAGTTTGTAAAAATGCGCTGCAAAAGTACCCACAAATAAATGCAAACCAGCTGTGGAGCACACACTTCTAACCACAAATGCCGTTAAACCCTAATTAATAACACAGTAGTAGTGGAGATTTAGTGATTACGAGATTTTATATAGAACATGTACTATATATATATACCAGCTAGCGGTTTTATAAACCTCAATCATTAAACATACATATGTATGTATGTACATGTATGTACGTATCGCTTAGTATATGTATGTATGTACATATTTATGTGTAACAACAATTTAATTAAACAAAAAATGTTATTTACCGCCCTTGACACTTGTAACTTTACACTATTAACGCATTAATTTAATAAAATATAGATTATGTACCAACATATATGTATATACAGGCATATGCATATATATATGTGAATACATAAATACATACAAAAAATGAAAAAACTTACTTGAAATGTTACACGTTTATATAGTATATGTAGTCACTCATTTATGTATGTACTATGTAGTTATATATAAACAATTATATACAGCAGACATAATAGTAGAAATTATTATAAAATAGTAGACATTGCTTAAATTACGAAATGCCAAAACTCCAACAAGAAAACCTTTTTTTAGACATGAAGCAGTCCATTTTGTACAGTTATACTAACACCAAATTAAAAACTCTATTATATATAGATGCACAAAAACTTACATATTTATTTAGTTAAAAATGAGCTTAACAAATTCCATATTATTTAAAAGATTTTTAAATATAATATACATACTAATATATATATATATATGTATATAAATTTGATTAATTTGGCGATGTCAATAATACATATTTATAAATATAAATATATACATATATATAAATTTAATTTCTATAGATAAATTATATATATATGTATATATGGTATGATATATACATATAAAGATATATTTAACCATAACTATATACATATGTATATAATAATTCATGTCATAAAAAACAAATACAAATTCTTATTTAAATTCAATATAAAACCTCCATGTAAAACAAATTTCATAAAAATCGGCAAACCTTTGTCGTATACATAAATGAAATGCAGATTATATGCCACTAATAGTAAACAAAACGTTGGAATTCTAAATAGTTAGACCAGTCTCGCGTTGTCGAAAAGCTTACCTGCTACATGTATTCACACATAAACAAATCAGCGCGTATATGTTATCGTATGTACTAAAATATAATAAGAATTAATAAAAATAAATAAAAAATTAACCTAACCTCAAGAACAACTCTAACCTTAAAACTACACTGCTTACATTGACTTTGTGTATATTTTCGAGTATTATTATAAAGCACAAACTTGGTTTGGCAAGGACAAAAAAAATTAAATGAAAATGGCAATTTTTGCTTTTGGTCGACAAACTGAATTCTTTGGTTAGATAATGTCCGATGAAATGCGTAAATATTGCACAAAAATGCTACCACAATGCAAATCGAAGCAAACACATGCTAATTTGACGTACAGCGCTTGCATATAAGGAGAAAAAGTTAAAAGACCAGGCGTTTAGTCCGCATTTTCCGACTTGAACGCATCGACTTGTTGTTGGCGCTGATGTTGAAATTGATGTCTAAAGTGGTACAGCGCTTGCTGGGACTGCAAATGTTGCCGATAAGCGACATCGATGTCAACAGTGCTATCACTAACAACATTTGCGTCCGACGTTGTACGCACGTTATTGTCGTTGTCCATGTCCTCGTTATCGATATCGAATTTATCGGAAACGCTTTTGTCATCATCATCAACATCTTTTGTGTCGTCTTCCGCATCCAAATCGACCACATCAACACCCATAAAACTGACCGCCGACGACGCTGCCGTTGCATCCGGCGACGCTTGTGGACGCGCGCGCGCATCAGCGTATGACAATAGTTGCATATCGCCACCGCTACGTTGTTGCTGTTGTGGCGATAGGCGATGATGCGCGAATCCATGTGTGCGTACACCATGATTGCTGCCCGCTACGGTGGTGGGACGTCGAAAAAACGACCGTATCGCCATTTCGGGATGTTTCTTGCGCACATGTTGACGCAAATGATCGGCGCGTTTGGTGCGGTGACCACATACCGAACACACCATGCTCTTGCCCTTGCCGCACTCTTGACGCAGATGACGACGCAACGTGCCGTGACGGCGATACGTGCGAAAGCATTGCGGACACTCGTAATTCTCTTCGGAATTGTCGTGCAACTGATAGTGCGTGCCGCCCAATGCAAGGCTGCCGCTGTAGAGGGCATCGGTGCATTCGACTGTGTTGTTGCTGCTGTTGTTGTCATGTGGGTGACTTTCTTCGGATGGATTATTTGCAAAAATGTTGCTAGCGTTGTTATCTATGAGTATATTGGCGACGCTTACCGTTTGTTGTGGGTGGTGGGAAGGTTGTTGCTGTTGTTGTTGTTGTCTCGTAAATGAATTGCCGGTTGGGCGTAAATTTGAATTGGAGTTGTTGGTGTTGGCGATGATTGTGGTATTGGTTGAATGAACGTATGAGGGGAAATATCCTGAAATTTGTTGTTGTTTAGTTGTTTGGGTTTTTCTTTTGGATATTTTGATTTTTTTTTTTGTATTTTTTTTGGCAAATTTGCGATGTGGTAAGAGCAATTCAAAAAATTATTTCCGAGTTTTTTCAAACTTCGAAAATCTCAAAACAGTTACATATATTTGAATTGCAGTGGAGAAAGTTGAATGAAATCTTACGAATTATCTATGTATGTAGTTGCGTGCGTGTGTTTATTTGTTGTAGCATTTAGCATAGTATAGTTTGCTTTGGTCAGTATATTAGGCATGCCAATATTTATATATAATAAATATATTGATTTATGTAAATGTGTATGTATTAAAAAGCCAGAGCGCTGCCTCCATTCCACAAAGGAACAGCTAGAGCATTCGCCGTGGCAAAAACAATTTTACAATCACAATGCACATTCTCTGGGTTGCACAAGCCGTCTTTGTTAATAAGTTGTTTTTGTTGTTGTTTCATTTAACGTTTTAGTTGCGGTTAATAAGATTATGTGTTAAAATGCTACGTTTTGTTAAATCGACTACACAACGGTGTGGTGGATTCGGTCTGCATATATTTGTCGAGCAATTAGTGAATGTAGTAAAGCGTTTGCGAGGCGTAAATGTCCTACAAGAACATAATGTTTGTTATTTTTTGGAAACCTTCAACTCATTGGAAAAGCATTATGAGTAACATATGCCATTTATAAGCACACAGTATGTGCGCGGAGTTGCCTGAACGAGCTACTCTTCAAAGCAATAATAAAACAATTATATTACAATTATAGGGTAGCGCTTCCAACAATAGTCTAAGAGAACATTTGCGGAGGTTTTTCAATAAGAGAAACCTGTCAATGCATGTATTACTGAAAATCATATTCAAATTCTATGTCTGTCGCCATTATGCCACTCTCAAGCACAATTAACTAAAGAATATTTAAATGACAAAAAAAAACTACTAATTTTAGCTTAAAAATTGCAATATTGGTCGTATGTTCTATCTATAATCGCCAATAAAACACTTTTGAAAGTTCTTCTTCTTCGAAACCTCTTTCCATGTTCACTGCTCCAACGATTTCAAAGGAATATGTTTTTTAAGATTCAAAGAAATTTACTCCCTCCCCCAAGCCGCATAATTAAAACTGATATAATACTGTTATAAGCCACTGAAACCTGCAATGAGTACTCCGGAATAAATGAATACCGTATAAATGGCTAAAACTAGCTTCTACTGAAACTAAAATTTTCGTAAAGCTAAGCCTAGATTCTGATTTAATCTTCTATATATGTATTTTAATACTGACTTTAGAAAAGGTGGCATGAGACCTCTGTGGAAAAATATATAGATAGGACCGCAAAACTATTATTATTTGAAGAATTTTGGCAGATATACATACATACAAAAAAACAGCAAAAAAAAAAATAATAAAAATTTTACGGTTATCGTCTTCTCTAGACTTTTTGTCTAAGAAACATAATATTTATCAAAATTCTTCCCTTACATCAATAAACTTATCCAATATGTAGCTGCATTAGGCTAAAAAAAATGTGTAGAAGAGTAAGCTTCAATTCTGGAATCTTTAGAGAAATTTTTAAATTCAGGAACAGTCTAGAAAAAATTTTCTTCAAATTATTCCAAAAATTTGTTTGGGTTTGCTTGGAAGAGTCATAAAAAACTGGCAAAATCCAACAGTTTAATATGCACCAAAAAATATTGTTTTCGAGATGGTTTTGGATACGACGAATATCTGTTTTTTCTTTAGATATGTGTATAATCAATAAATATGACTACTAGTAAAATCTTAATACTCGCCAGCAGCAGTTAACGACTGCACCTATTCAAGGTCATCAGATTTTATATTTCCATTATTAACAGTTTCAGGTATTGTTTTAATCAAAAGTGAAACATTTGGCTTTGAGAATATTTTTTTTTCCCGTAAAAAGATAAATCGAAATAAAATCGAGAGACAATAAAAACTTGGAAAGGTATCGTAAGCAAAGGATCTTATCGTATTCCCTCGACATTTTTTAACATTGAGTGCGCAATATGACATTTTTAAAGGGAAAGAAATGTCAATTTGAGAAAAATGGCGTTTGAAATTCAACAGCTGAGAAGAAATTCGAACAAGTGTTTAAAAAATAAGTGAGTTTTTTGTTTAATTTTATATTTTTTAAGCTTTCATGTACCAAC